ATTAGCTGCTGTGAGCTAGTATTAGCTGCTGTGAGCTAGTATTAGCTGCTGTGAGCTAGTGTTAGCTGCTGTGAGCTAATGTTAGCTGCTTTGAGCTAATATTAGCTGCTGTGAGCTAGTATTAGCTGCTCTGAGTTAAAATGAGCTGCTGTGAGCTAGTATTAGCTGCTGTGAGCTAGTATTAGCTGCTGTGAGCTAGTATTAGCTGCTGTGAGCTAGTGTTAGCTGCTGTGAGCTAATGTTAGCTTCTGGGAGTCAATAGCAGTGTGACAATCATTTTGTCCTGGACAGAGGCCGGCATGAAGCGTGTCGGTGCTTCCTGGAGTCGGTAACAGAGTTTCTCTTAAGAGTATAAAATATCTTTGTGGAAAAGAGCGTCTGTACCGTCACAGAGAGCAGATAACTTCTGGCGGAGTATAAATCCAGCTTTAGTCCTCCAGCGGTGAGACAAACTGAATGAAAGACAAAAATACCTCAGTTAAGAGTTGAAAGTAAGAAAAGGTTGTTTTTCTTCCTTCAACCATCAACTGTCGGCTAAAGGTTCTGCTGAAAATCTGTAAAGATCATAAAACTAACAGCGGATGTAAGACGTCAAAGTGCCGCTTCAGCCAGGTCCAGTTTCCTGAGGCTCATTTAAACGGTTTCTGCTGAAGTTTCTTGGAGCTCCAGACCAAGTTTTCTCACGTTTCACCAGATTCTGTCTCTTTTAACGTCTGCTCAGTTTTTTTGTGAATCATGCTCACGTTGTGCGACACACAGCTACTTAAAGTCAAAACACACCGATCCCAATCGAGCCGCACATTTCGGTGCATAACTTGCATGAAAAAGTTTTTTTTTGTTTTTTTTTTAAAAAGAAAATAGTACTAAGGGTGCATCAATGCTCTGATTTCCAGATCCTGTTAGAAACTGATAAACTTTTATGCTTTATATACATTTATAAGATAATTACCTAAAAGTGAAACATTAAGTATTGATTTTCTTTCATAGATTTCTTTCAGATACATTTTTATCAGCAACTCAATATTTACACATTAATGGTCCTCTGTGGTCCAAACATAAAGTCGGGTTAACTTTAAAATGTTTCTTTTCAAACTAAAACGTGACCTAAAGCTCTCAGATGCTCAGATTAACACCTGAAGTGCACGTAAGACGTTGGAGTAAGGATAAAATATTGGTCACAAATCAAACTTTATACCGCAGGTTGTATTTTTCTTTTGTTGCCAACTCTCCGAACCTTCATTCTGAAGTCGGCCTTGATGAACCGCAGCTCATCTTTAAACAGGAACCGTCAGTAAAGACCACAAGCTCCGCCCTCAGCTCAGCTGCTGCGCTCCAGTGTAATCAAAACGGATCGTCACTGGAATAAAATTCACATCTACAAACTACACAGCAGATTTAAACGGAGGACTTGGTCCCCTTCTGGTTATTCTAATGTGTTTTGTAACTTAGATTGAACCGATTTAAAAATAAGGAGTTTTAGTTAAGACCTTGAGAGTACCGCATGCCAAGATTGTAAAAATATTTGACCTACGAGGGCAAAAAGACCCAAAAGAAAACTTTTGTACTTGGATTGTTAATTGATGAAACGCCGAGTGGGAAACAAGACGTCACACCAACGGTTCAAACTGATTTTAGCTCTTAAAGAGTGAAGGAGGTATTTTTAATCACCTTTTTCCTGCTAATACTGCCTGAAGGAGCGCCTCCGCTCACCTCAGCTCTGAATCCTTCTGATCAACACTTTGAATAAAGTGACGATGAAAAACAACAAGCCCATAAACAGACAACCTGCTGAAACAGCCGTTCGCTGTAACGAACCTTCCCGATCATCAGCAGCTGTAAAAACAGTGGGAGTAAGAGATAAGACGTTTCCGTTTCCCTCGGGCCGTACTGCAGAACTATAACGCTTCAACAAGATCCAGGCCGGAGTTGAATCCTAAATGAAAAAAGTTCAGTAGTAGCAATAAATCGGAGGTGGAGAGGTCCACGTAGGCAGCAGGTTTGTAACAGAGGAGTTAAAGTCTATGGAAAATGCCCAGGACTCGTTGGTTTAGTAACTGAATGTGCAGCTTCGGGTGGCAGCTGCAAAGTGGTCATCAATCATCTTTTGAGCAATCGGCGACGGGGGCCGCGGAGGGCGACTGCGGCCCGCGGCTCCGCTGGTAAAGACGGTAGCCCTTCCGGCAGAGCAGCACGAACCAGTAGACCTGCGGCGCCAGGATGCACGAGTTGCCCAGGTTGGCGAGGAGCGGCAGGTGGAAGGGCACCGTGTGGAGGGGGATGCCGTAGTGGCGGCCGTACATCCAGTACATGAAGGGGAAGAGGGCGATGCGGCACATGAAGAAGGTGAGCAGAACCATACCTCCGTTGGCCTTGTGAAGACAGCCGTCCTGGTGGCCGATCTGGTGGAGGAGACGCAGGAGGAGGTGGTGAGGAGCAGAACAACACATCTAGGACACATGTTTGTACTTTCAATCTATTTTCCTGGAGTCATTGAACTTAGGATGGCCGCCCGAGCCAACGTTAGAAAACTCCAAACACTTTTACTGATGTTGTGTCTGCTTGAAAATATTTATCCAACAAGTTTTTAATCACATTTTTAGTTAACCCAACAGTTCTCAAAGCTTTTGGGTTCAGGAGCCCCTTACAGGGGGGATTTTTTATTTACTTACACGCACACGCACGCACATGTGTGTGTGTACAACATATGTTTATCCTCTTTTGTATTTATTTATTTTTTAATTGTTAGGCTTCTTGATCTGTAAATGTGAGCGGACAATAAAAATCCTTGAAAAAGTTTCAGGGAGCCCTCACAAGGCTCGTGTTTATTAAATCTTTTTCTTCAGTTTGTCTCTTTAATGTAAGGGAAACATTTGTGTAACAAACACTTAAGACCTGTTCTTTAATAGTGTTAATACAATTGTTCTACTTTTAAACACGGGGTGTTTTTCATTCAAGACGCTTAATTACAGTAACATCAGTTTAAACACCATGCTTCATCGAAGCAGATGACCACTTGTCCTGAGCTGGTTCTGCTGGAGGTTTCTTCCTGCTATCAGGGAGTTTTTTCTTTCCACTGTCGCCTTTGTGCTTGCTCAGGAGGGGAGACGGTGACAAAGTGAAGATTCAACTCGTGTGCTGGCTTCCTTCCTTAGATACATAACTTTTACTAACTGGCTTTTATAAAGTATGTGAATGTTTCTGTTCAGTGCCCTGACACGACTTCTGTTGTGATTTGGCTCAACATGAATAAACTGAACTGACTTGAAAATTAGGCGAGGTGGTAGTTGAGTCGTTCACACCAGCACATAAGACAAAAGCAAACTGATTACATGTAATCTTGTCTTAAATGTTGGCCTGCAGGCAGGAGCGGTGGTTGAGAATATATATTTTACATTAATATATTTAATATATTTTTACAGACTATACATTTTTAAGAGATGTGAAGCAACTCCCTGCTTCAGTTTGTGTTACATGTTGTTTCCAACTGAAACATCCATCACTGCAGTGCTTTATAACAGGACACTTGACGGTAAATCCAGGTAATATTCTGGGGTTTTTCATACGCGGTTTGTTTCTGAGGGGCTCCTGCAGAAACACACGAGCTCTGCAGAAAACTGAGACCTGATAATGTCGGCCTGACTTTCTGAGAAGCTTGGTTTGTTTAGAGCAGCTATGCTTTGCTCCTTTTCTTTGCCGACACCAGATGTCAGCAAAGACCCGACGGTTCGCGCTCCACCAGTTTCACAGAAAGGTTCTTGGAATCTTGGATTAATGCGCTGGAAGCCAATAAATGAACGACAAATGTGTTGATTAAAGTGTAGGAAGGGAAATATGGCGGCACATACAGCAGCTGATGCTTTCTGAGAAAATGAAGATGAACTGTTAGCTGAAAGTTGCTGACTAATGTTTTTGTTTTGTTGAGCCGTGCAGATAAATTATTGATAGAACAGTGACAAACTACCTTCCACATGAAATGGAGATGCTCTGGTTTTTGATTATGTAAGGTCTGAGTAAGAAAAGGCCAACTGTTTTTTACAGAAGCTAAAAATGAGTGTCTGAATTTGAAAACACTATATTTAGAAATGGCAGTTTTATTTATAAAGCTCTTAAGTGTTGCAAGACAAACCCTATAAAAACAGTAAAACATAAAAAGCCAAGCTTAATGGCTTTAAACACTTGTGTGTCTTTCAGTTGGAGGTGTTTCAACAGTGAAATTCATTTTGTACTGAAGTGGAAACTAAAGGAAGCATGTATGTCCACGTTTATTTCTAGTCTCTCGAGCTCGAGTGAGAAGCACAAATAAAACTTTCTGATGATGCTTTACACCGGGGTGTCCAATCCTGGCCCTCGAGGGCCACCATCCTGCATGTTTTACTAGTTTTCCTGCTCCAACACACCAGATTCAATGACTGAATCACCTCCATGTTCTGCTGAAGCCTGGTCATCACCCATCGCTTCATATCCCGTATCCCCAGGATTAAACAGAAAACAAACAGGATCACTAAAAGCCATCTTCAGAAATCTAAAGAGAGTGTGTGGGTTTGGGTTTGCCTTGTTTTTTGCACCACTACTGGGCCACCAATGTCAGAGTTATGGTGTACTGACAATATGGCTTCGAGAAGGGGGAGGGGTTCATCCCACCTTCTTGGCTAACCATTGAAAAAAGCCTAACCCACAAGACAAGTCCTCAGGCCTCATGCTGTCTATAGGAAGGATCATTTTACTTTGTTAAATACCCAGAAGATCTGGAGTCAAATTAGAAAACATTGTGCGCTCCCACACACTTGGGTCCATGCTTCGATTTGGCAGAACCATGACTTTTTGCCATCCCTTAAAGATACTGCCTTTAGAGAGTGGAGCTCTATGGGTATTGTCTGTTTAGAGGATCTTTATGTTGACGGTTAATTGGGCTCCTTTGAACAATTGCAATCCAAACTTTCCATTTCAAAATGTCAGTTTTTAGGTATTTACATCTGAGACATTATGTCCGACAGACTAGGAAGTCGTATAAATTACCATCTGAGAATAATGTATTGTTAAAATCTCTCCTGAAGCAAAACATTCAATCTCTGAGCTGGTTCACTTTTTCTCCAGTACTTTAGATTCTTCTACGAGTAAAATTTAAAAAGCCTGGGACGGTGAGTTTGCTATTGAGATGGAGGATGAAACATGGGATGAAATATTAACGAACATCAAGTCTTGTTCCATTAAAGCCAGGCTTCAACTGAGCCAGTATAAAGGTGGTTCATAGATTACGTTATTCTAAAACTAAATTAAATAATTTTTTCCTAATCTTCCTTCACTTTGTAGCAGAAGTCAGGCAGCAGAAGGTACTCTAGCTCACCTTTGGTGGTTTTGTCCAAATGGACATCATTTTTGGTTCCTTATCTTTCCATGGTTTTCATGTCTTTAACATCACGGTCACACCTGATCCTGGACCTGCTCTGCTGGGATACTCCAACACCCTGACAAACCTCGACTGTAACATGCCTATTGCTCTAACTTTTTGGACGATGATTGTGAAGAGGTGTATTCTGAAACTGTGGAAGTCTGATTTCACTCCCAAATTGGAGACCTGGCTGAACTCATAAATATTCTGCATGTGGAACGACTGACACATGAACTTTCTGGTAACATTCTTACGTTTTCTAAAATATGAATCCAGTGTTGAAAGATTTAAAAGATCAGCGATGCTCCTTTTATTCAACCACAAAACTTAAGAGTCTTCCTGATAAGATGGACGGTTGAGGACGTAATACAGTTGAGAACTTCGCCCAATCTTTCCATTTATTTATGTATCTATTGGTTTATATTTTGTTTGCTTGTCTTTTATTATCTATATAAATTTCCTTGAAAATCTTATAAATAAAGTGTTAAAAAATGTAGGACTGTGGCCCTCAAGGACCAAGGATTGGACAAGACGCTGTCCCTCACTGCAGAGCTCCTCCTCAACAGTAGATGTCACTCCTGAAGATAAAATATTGCTACAGAGCAGGAAAGGCACTAAAATAAGTCACAGAAACATTTTGTGGAAGAGGCTAAAGGTAATGACGACTAAAACCTTCAACTTAAGATCTGTCGTGCTAAAGATGGAGACGTTCATCCTTTACACACAGTTTTTGTAATAAATACTCTGTTAAGAGTCGATTATAAATTAAAACACAAAGCTCGGCAGGCCTGTTGACCCTAGTTACAGCTGCCAAGTCGTGGAAGCAGAAACGGCTGAAGGAGTTGCTTGTTCAGCAAATGATTGCCCAACTCGACGGCGGTGGTTAATCAGAGTAACGGAAAACATCTGAGGACCGGTGACATTTTCTCTGTATGGAAACCAGGACGTGTGCAGGTTTCAGGTGGATGCTCGTGTGTTGGTGACGTCTCACCTGAATGAGCATCTTCCCCAGGGAGACGAAGGGCGTGCTGAGCTCAGTCAGAAACAAGCAGCCGATAAAGAAATCCCCCTGGTCCTTCCTGAAGAACTGAGGAACAGACAAACACAGGCGTGGGGAGAATTAAAAAACACACAGCTGATGTTTGAGCAGTTTGTGGAACAGCCTCTTGTGCAAAAATACAGATTAAATAAAGTAATATTTAACCACGGCTTCTTAAAACAACCTTAAATGAACTACTCCTTCCAATATTTTACTAAAATCACCCGCCATGTTTAAAGAGATCAGAACATTTTAAGATGGGATTAAAATGTCCCCAAAACATGTCAAAAGTAAGACGTGGCTGCTGGGACAACTTTATAAAAACTTGTATTCAGGGGCTTTTGGAGAACTTTGTGTCTTTCCTTTGGTTTGTTTCCAGTAAGTTTTATTTCTGTCTGGTGAACGTCAGGTTCTGTGCAAGTTCTCATCCAGACAGAAATGTTGTGTTAGAGAAATGACAAGAACAAGCGTGTGGTTGTTGAGTACAACAAGCTGAGCTGTCATGTTTGGAGACGAACCTTAGAAAGAGTTAAGACACTGAGTTGCTTACGCTTCAAAATAAACACCATAAAAACTTAAAAATATATAATTTAAAGGACAAACGGAAACACAGACTTCACAGGGTTCCTGCATATTTTCATTTTTGATATTCTATAAGTTGTGGACTTTAAATAAGTGTAATGATCACTTGGTGACTCTGCGTATCAATGTTTAGTCAAATGAAAGACGTTCTCGGGCTGCTGACCTCAGGATGAGAACTCTCACACTAAACGTAGAGAACTGTTAATAATCTCTGGTTATGCAGCCATGAGCCATGAAAGAACATTTATAATAACTTATAACTTAACTTATAATAACTTCAGGTTCACTGTTTAAAGACACGTCAACGTACAAATGGACACAACTGAAATATTAAGTATAGAAAATCTGGCCTTGACAAAATATTGACTTTTAATCCAGTATATGATCAAAGTGGAAAAATACTTTGTTTATTCTAGATTTAGATTTTTATCTCTTGGAAAATCCAAGAGTCCAGAAACACGTTTCCATACTTTGCTTCCTTTGTCCATATTTATTCAGACCTGGAAAATAGCAAAGCTCATCTCTGGACATCAAAGTTCATGCTCAATAATCCAGGTAAAAAAATCCAACAAAGTGCAGTCAGGTCATATGTTTTTTTAGACGTTTTATCCTCCATTTAAAGGACTTCAACAATCTGAAGAGCCACAAACAAACTCAGCCCCACAAGCAGCACACTCCGATAGTGGACCAACCAGTTTGCTGGTGGTAAGATGGTTTCTGGGGCCCGCCCTCTCCCTTGTCGACTCCTCTGAGGCAGCCACAGCCAAAGTGGTTCAAAACATCCCAGTTCATGTTCAATAATCCAGGTGAAAGTTAGACGGAACATCTCAACAAAACAAGAAACCGTCCAGATGACCTGACTGAACGTCGTCTAATCTTTGGACATTTTTAAACTCTGTAGGATCCTTTCTGTCTCCACTTGAACAGTTTTATCTGAAGGATCCTTTCCCCGATGTCTTGCATCTCCTGAGCGATGTGAATTAATTCCCCTCAGCGCTGAGGTTAGGATGCTCATAAACTCTCAGGTTGTGTCCTCAGAACAAAGGTTTTCATCAGCAGAGGAAGTGGCCCGCTACTCCAGATCCTCGGTCTGTTGAGGAGAGTTTAGGCTTCATGCTGGAAAAAGATCCCCCACTCTGATTTTAAATATAAAATCTCAAGAGTTTGTTACCGTTTCTTGGTTGTTTCTTTAGCATGCACGCGTGCACACGGAACATGTTTTTGTCTGAAATTATATTTGGGTCAATTAGACACAGGAGCAGAGTAAATAAGTGTTTTAACAGACGGTGGTGAGTTTTTGTTCTTTTATATTTTAAAGTCTTGCAGTCTGGATCTCCTGTTGCTAAGGTCCAAATATCTAAACTTAAGCTTTTCTTTTTCTTTGACGTCAAACATTCATACACGAGCAGACAAAGTCCTTGAAGATAATCATATTTTTGAACGTGGCAGACACGAAGTCTCCAAAAAACACACCAGTGAATCCACAGTAGAATGGCGTGACATTGAAGTCAAAGGAATTAACCATAACACTGATTATTAGTTAAACCCAACGACTTCTCAGTTTTGTTTGCAGCCTCAAAAGCTTCTGGAAACACATTCAAGTATTTCAGGTTTTTATTTTTATTGTTGCAAACAGACGAGCAGGAATTTGAGTTCAAACTATAAATGCTGTGAAGAGCCAGGCGGGGACAGCATCGGGAGTGATGTCATGTATATAAGTAATGAATGAAGCTTTTAAATATTGACCAGCAGCTCAGAGCTGACAGGTGACGCCACCCCTGAACAGGTGAGTCAGTCCAGATGGATAGAGAGACTCACAACAAAAGACAAGCACTGGCTGGTAACCCGGCTAGTGGCATGTTGGAGATTAATAAACCATGAGCTGCTGCAGGTGCCGTTCTACCATCAAACCATCCATTAACTTGACCCGCTTGTTCCTTTTCAGGTCGTGGGGGTCACTGGTGCCCATGTCCAGCCATCACTGTGTGAGAGGCAGGGGACACCCTGGACAGGTCTCCAGTCCATCACAGGGACACAAAGACAAATGAGACAAACAACCATTCACTCCCTCACTCACCTAGAGAAAATTTAGAGTTACCGTTTAGACCAACATGCATGTTTTTGGTCTGTGGGAGAAAACCCACACATGCACAGAGAGAACATGCAAACTCCACCCAGAAAGGCCCCCAGGCAGGATTTGAACCAAGGCAACCTGCTCGCTGAGAGGCAGCAGTTTTATCAACTGCGCCACCGCGCTACCGTCGAACCAACCGAAGAATGACGAAACTACATCGTGATGAATTTACAAGTCGTCTCCGTCTGCCAAGACGATTTACTCTTCAGTTCATCTGTACAGACCCTTAGTTCACAAACACTCATTTGAATTATAATTTAAACCTTTACTATGTATTTATTTTTATGAACAAAGTTCCCCCTAAGAAAAGGTTCCCAGCATTTCATGTAAACAAAATTCCCCACATGTTCCCTGATTTTTTCCTGAGTGAACCCTAAAATTCCAGATGTTTCAGTCACACATTCAGAACGAAGCGTCGTAGGTGGCGTCACATTCAGAGACGACAGGAAGCATCCTGCAGCCTTCCGTACGTGCATACAGCAATCAATCCTAATAACTGATTATAACATCAGAAAGTAAAAAGCTGCTGTAGCCTGTCAGTAAGGATACATGTACTGTGCACACTGTAGAAGCAGAACATGGACTCACTGACACTAGAATACTACGGTAGTATTCATACATGAGCACGTTGAAAATCTCAAAGAGAATCTATAACCAGCAAATCGGTGCTCCAATTCCCTGAGTTTTCCCGGTCTGGAAAATGTGAAAATAATTTTCCAGGTTTTCTCTGATTCCCAGAGATGTTGGGAACCCTGTCAGAGTTTCAAACAACAATCCAACATAACTGGTGTTTTCTAAATGCTTCCAGAGGGACAAACATTTCTGCAGCACTCCATTGGTGGGAGCGCCGCAGAAATGGTTTTCCTTCTGGAAGGTTCTCTCTCCACAGATCTGTCAACAGAACCATTGGGTTTGTGGTCACCAGACTGACTGAGGTCTTTCCACCCTGATCACTCAGATGGGCATTCAGCTCTGGGAAGAACCCTGCTGGTTCCAAACTTCTTTTATTTATGGATGATGAAGGCCACTGCCTGGAAATAATGCTGCAGGAATCTTTCTATACCCTTCTTCAGATCTGTACCTCAATACAATCCCATTTAAGAAGTCTACAGACAGTTTCTTGGACTTCATCAAATTCATTTCAATTCAAAAATACTTTATTAATCCCAAAGGAAAATTAAATGTTGTAACTCATCATCCTGGTTTTATTAAAAAGTTGTTATAGATACTGACGGCTGTGGGCAGGAAGGAGCTCTTGCAGTGGTCTGTCTTACAGAGGATCTGAAGAAGCCTCTGACTGAAGACGCTCTGTCATGTCTCGGTTTGTGCTCTGAGGTGGACTGTCAACTCCAGGACCTTTTACTGACAGGTGTGTGCTTTTCCAAATACAGTACAATCCACTGAACTTATCACAGATGGACTTTAGAAACATCTGAATCAGTAGAAATAGGACTGAGTGTCATCACTGTGAATACTTATGGCTCTTATGGTAAATGGACTGTACTTGTATAGCATCAAGTTTCTATCTAGTCAAAATACTCAAAGCGTTTTACACAACAACCTGTGCCCTCATTTGCCCGTTCATACAGCACTCTACTCTCTCCACAAAGCTAATCTGAATCTGTAGAGACTAATCAGTGCTTTATTCATACACACATCAGAGGCAACAAGGGGTTCAGTGTCTTGCCCAGGGACACTTCAACATGTGACTGCTGGTGGAATTGAACCCCCAGCTCTCCCATTGGGAGGATGACTGCTCTAACCACTCAGCCACAGCTGCCCCATGTACAGAACAAGGCTGTAAAAAACTAAAAGTGTTCAAAGTCAAAATCTGTGAATACATTCTGGTTGCTCTGTATCTGACAAGAACTTTAAAAACAATTTGCCAAACAAAAACATAAAAGTCTGAGTAAACATCTTCCAACTGAAGCTGCAAACCCAACACACTTTTCAGCTATAAACCTCAGTGGCTCCGATTTGTTTGCAGCCTCTGTTCACACAGGATGTAGCTGTGATTCCAAGAATCAGATCCCTACATCGAGTCATTCAAATGAGCCGGTGCGCAAAAAAAACACATTTCAAACCTGACACGCATCTGTAGCTACAAGCTAAAGGCTAAAAACGTCAAATAAATGTCATCCCATCTCACTATGCTGTTAAAAACTTGTGGAAAAAGGATAAAGTACACATTAGTCTGAAGTGACTTCTGGCTGCCGCACCCTCCTGAGCAACCCCCGGTCAGGTGGGATTTGCATTTCTAATGTCTGTCAGTTGTTTAATTTGAAAAGGTGTTCAGTGCGCACGACTCTGATGTAAAAATCTTTGGTTGGCGGATGGTTAGGAAAAACATCAAGCTCTGTATCAAGAACGTCGACCCAATCAGGAAAAAGACAGCTCCTTCTATTTATCCAATTAGGAACGCTAAAGTCAATAAAAAACATCTTGAACTTTAAAGTGCTCATCACGTTTCTTTCTTGAAGACAATCAGCATCACCTGCGTTTGAATAACGTCGCCCGTTTAAAACATAATGCACACAACCACAGGACCGGTCTTCTTAAGTGACTGAAAAGATGATCACTCTTCATCAGTGAGGTATAAATAATTTGCTAGTTAAAACGTATTAACCTCGGCGTTACGTTTTAGTAAAATGTAGATTTTTTTTTTGTGTACATCTAAAATGGTAAAGATTTGCTGTTGGTTCTTGCTCCTCGTGCATGTTGCTGTTCTTCCTCAGCTCACTTTAACAGACAAACCAAACATTAACACTGATGAGAGAGGAAATAAGAGGAGAAACAAAGAAAAGGAAGGCGAGACTAGAACAAAAAAAGGGAGGATGACTGCAGCTGGAGCTGAATAATGGAGGGTAATGTGAGCTCATAAAGCCACTGACAGCAACTGCAAACAAAGCCCGGGTTTCTGACGCACCTGGGCTTCAGTCTGGACAAAGAAGTTTCATCTTCTGTAAACCGACAAATCTCACTAAATGCCACGGATGTTTGATAACGAAGGTAAAACAGTTCTGGAAAATATTGTTTTCCCCTCATTGAACGTTTATTTAGGCAAATCAACAAAGTGATTCATTAATCAGAGGATAAGCTCATGATAAATAATGACTTTTTCTTTGTTTAATTAATCATTTTAATTCGGTGCTCAGACTCTGACAAAGTTCAGATTCAACATGAAAAACCTCACTCTTCTTACAAACTACTTCAGTGAAAGTTTTCATTACTTTACCAGCTTGAGTTCACATCTTACACGCTCTTATTGTATTCTCACAAACAAACAGCCTGGCATTCTTTGTTTATCTTTAAAACATTTACAATTCAAGGATACAAAGGAAGAAAAATGGCTCGTTTGTTCGGACTTATTCAAAGCAAATAATCAATAATGGCAGCATCTTTCACTTCCTGCCATTTCCTCCCCTTCTAGACCGAGAACTTGCCTTTGAAGTGACCGACTTCTCTCCATTTCCTCAATTAGAGCACATGAAACCTGTTCCCAGTAAAGTGGTTCCAGTTGTGGCTTACAGGCCAGCGCCTGGCCCAGTCGCTTCTTTCAGCTTGGATTCAGGAGTTTGGGTCAGGAGAACGAGCGCTCCAGAAGCAGCAACACATTTACAAACAATGTTTGCATCAGAAGCTGAGAGCGTGACGATGGAGACGAATCGTTCAGACTGAAACTACAAATGTTTTCAGTTTTAAGTGAAGTCTGGATAAACGAAGAGAAAAAGCTGAGCTTCAACATGTAGATTCAAGAGTTGCACTATAATTAGTTTGAACGCTGATTCAGGAGTCACACAATTTGTTTTATTTTTTTTACTTTTTATTTTCTATAGTTGTTGCACCCTAAATACTTTTGCTTACTTTGTGCTTATTTAGCCAATCATGTACCAAATCATTCAGCTCATTCAGGGGATGGCTGTCGTTACTTTTGGTTTTTAGAACTTACGTTTTCAAAATACTTTATGTACAAATATAACAGATATTTTCAGTTCCTTCAAAAATATTCTCTTTGAAATCTGCTTCGATGAACTTGATCTGTTTGTTGCTCATTCTGTTACTTTTAGCTTCTGTTTTCATTACCGTAGTTTAGTATTTAGCCAGCACTTCGTTACTTTTAGGGTTTAAGCTATCCTCTTGATACAACTAGCCACCCTTTGGCCAGTTTTATCATTTAGCTAACTCTCTGCTGCTTTTAGCATTTAGCTATTTTTATTACTAAACTAGAATTATGACTTTTAGCTAGCCATTTTATTTTATTTAGCTTTTAGCTAATGTTCTACACTCCTATTAGCTCTTGTCTAATGGTCTGTTTTTTCAGGTTTTAACTAATGGTATGCTTCTTTTGGCTTTTATGTCCCATTTTCAGCTTCTTCAGTAAATTTCAGCACTCAGCTGCATTTCTTCTTCTTCTCTTCTTCTTCTTTCGGCTTTTCCCTCTTCAGGAATCTCCACAGCGAGTCATCTCACTCTGTCCTCTGCATCCTCTGTCCTCACTCGTCCTCTCTAACAGCATCCATATATCTCCTCTTTGTCAGCTGCATTTCTAACATTCTTCTACCAATATACCCACTGTCCCTCCTCTGGACATGTCCAAACCACTGTCCCTCCTCTGGACATGTCCAAACCATCTCAGTCTGGTCTCTAGCTGCATTTCTTCTCTAATTTTCCATTTCACATCTGCCAGTTTTCCTCAGTTAGAGCGAGAAATGTTCAAATGTGAACTTCAGGAAAACTCAAGGACAGGAAACGAGTTTTAAACCTCTAAAAGTCGGGCTAACTTCAGCAGGAAGTTGCATTCTTAATTTAAGAAATTTAATCATAACAGATGTTGCCAAATGGAAACTCCACGTTCTGTTTCAAGTGTTCAAACAGCTTTTCAGCTAACATCGTTTCAGTACCAGATGAAATCAGATTTCGGCCTGAAAATGACTCGATAAGTAATCCATGGCATTCAGCGCCGGGTCTATCTTCTGCTGCCACTCAAGGAATCATTAGATGATGCAGCGTTTTGTACGGATTGATTTGAAACCGCTGATCGACATTAGAGCTTACGGTTCTGAAGCGTTACTGGCAGGGGACTGTATGAAAACAACTCATGGCTTGCTGTCACAACGGATCATCAGCTTCAGTAATGCAGGGTTGAAAAGCGGTACTTTTCTTTGACGCCGGAACTTTTTGAATCCAGGCCTCAAGAGTGGAGGTTTTTGGAAATGGTCGTCATTGTTTTAATGGAAACCGAAACTTAAGAGCAGTCACACAGGCGCACTGCCAGCCACTGCAGTGAATAGTTTCTTTTCTTTCGAGTAGAAGAAACTGTTGCGCTCGAGCACAAAGTGTCTGCACAGAAGCAGACTTAAAGACAACAGTTGCGGCACCAGCTAGTGAGCTGCCATGGAAACTATAGTGAATTCAGCAAACACGGTTTTACCGTAGAAACGTGAAGTTTTCACAGTAAATGTCGGAAACACCTCGGACACTTTCCAAGATTGTCTATGTGTAAACAGGACTTAAAGGTCGCCAAATATGTTTATTTAAACTAAGCAATTGTTATATTTTGGTGAGTAAATGTACTTTTGGACACAACAAAACAAAACTATAACAATGAAAAAATAAAGTGTTCTAAATTGGTCATTGGCCGCACTAATTCCTAAAGATCTGCAGCAGCCATAAGCAAAAACTACACGTAGCAAAATCATAGACATGAAGCTAAAATGAGCCAAACCGTATCTAAAAGTAAAAATAATCAAAATAATATCTAAGAGCTACAAGAAGCATGAGAAGGCAAAGATCGGGCAGGTTTGTTAAAGCAGATTTTAGATGCTTTTGAAAGAACTGAAGAGATTTCAAAGCATTCACGGGAGAATATTTTTTGTAAATAAAGCAAATAAATCAAAGTATAAAAGTTACAAATCCTAAAAGTCACATCACGCCGTTCCTGATCGAGCTGAATGTTTTGGCAAATGAAACGGTTAAAACAGAACAAAAACTGCTGAAGTATCAAAGTCCATGCTCCATAATCCAGGCAAAAACATTCAGTCAGGTCATCTGGACATCTCAGCAAAACAAGAAACCGTCCAGATGACCTGACTGAACATTGTTGGATTTTTTTCCTGGATTATGGAGCATGGACTGTGGTGTCATCTGGACAATTTATTTTTTCGTTGAGACGTTTAGTCCTTCATCCAAAGGACTTCATCAGTCCGAGGAGCCGCAAACTGTGTCCCATAAGCAGCACACTCCCATAGTGGACCAACCAGTTTGCTGGTGATAAGATGGTTTCTGGGACCTGCCCTCCCCCCGTTGACTCCTCTCAGGCAGCCATAGCCAAAGTGGACAACTGCTGAAGTAGTTTGGGAAAAAGGCTGCATGAACAGGAAGTCAGAAAATCTTCTGCTACCATTAGGGCAACGCTCTCCGAGACTTTGTCTCTGTCTTTTATTTTAAAACGACTCCACTGATGCTGATGAACAGCCATGACCCGACGGTGCCGACAGAAACCGATCAGTGATGGTATCAGTTTGGTTCTGTCAGTAACCAATCACGATTCACACGGAGAATATTCACTTTTGTTTTTCTGGAAGGAACTTTAGGGTGTAAATATGTCAGTAAAGTAGATACAAAAGTATTTTTACACTTTTCAGTCAGCAGGAAAAGTAAAATACTTAACATTACATTTTGATGAGTAACATTTATCCATTTTGTTTAATGCACTTTAATTTTCAAATGTGGGCGTTTTTGTCTCTTCGTAAAGAGGTTGCTCATGAACAGCCGAAGACAAATCTCTGCATCAGCCGAAGAAGCACTATCTTATCTTAATGCAGCAAGCTGGAGCTCTTTCACTAACGGAGCTGCCTGGAGCGCACCCAGTTTTCTGGTGGACAACATGACCTCATCATCTTCGTCTCCCCCATCACCCCACACCTCCCTCCTCCTCCTCACCAGTGTGATGGGCAGCAGGATGGTGAGCAGTGCGATGTGATGCAGCACCAGCAGGAACTCCCTTCGTATGAAGAAGTTTATGGTCCTCAGGGAGTGCTGCTTGTAGTCCTCGTGCCCGTTGACCTGGTACCGGTAGTAGTGGCTGAGGTACATGGCGAAGATGTCGTACGTCATGTAGGGGACACCGTACCAGATGACAAAATAAGTGGCCAGCCAGTGCCTAGGGGGGCAAACACACACACACAAAAAAAAGACCTGATGACGAAAGTTACATCAAACCAAGAACAAACTATTTCTCAAAATACTTCAAACCACAAGAACAGAGCTGTTTTTCAACAGACGATACAGAAACGTACATTTTGCTGGTTAAAACTATAAATTTGATCATTAGGACCACGATTATGAAGAACTTTTCCACGTTTGTTCTGGTTTTACTCGTTCAGCTTAAAATACACAAAATCATTTAAAACTGGCTGCTAGAAATAAAACAACGTACGAGGGAACCTTGACGGAGTCCAGGGGCTGCGACTTGTTCGCGGTCTATCCCTGTTCGCTAACGGTTTTTATAAGTGGTGCTAGCAGCTCTTATGTTACACAAGAGGCCTTTCTGCAAGTGCACTGCCTTCCATCAACGGAATAACAGCCGAACGTGTCAGCTTTATAGCTGTATTAAATTCTTATTCCGGTTTTGTAATGTTTCTCGACGGCTATCAGACGGGGGGGCCAACCCCGTGATGGATTATTTTCACTACAGCTCAACTCTGAACAGCTGCAGTCGCACGTTGGTGAGGAGTTTAACTGGCTTCTGACTGAATGGTGAGAAGAAAAAGACGGCACAAAGAAATAAGTAACAGGATATTAAAAATTAACAGCGCTGAGCTGAATTTGACAGAACTTTGATCTAATTAAAGGCCCAGAACTCGTCGAAGGAATTCAGATCACCCGCTGACTTTCATGATTCCATTCAAACGGGAAACATCTCGTGGTGAGGAGGGATGGAGTTACTGCCATGCACCATCTCCTGCCTTACAAAGAGTCCTCACAGGATGTGGCTCAGAGTATGTGTTGAGGATGAAGCTCAGCTACTACCACACCAAATGTGAACTCCATCTCTGTCAAAGTGGCTGAGTTAGATGTTTTTTTGTGTTTGTGAGTAGCTGTAGCGGTACATCCTCCCCAAAAAATACTCCCTCAAAAGTTTTTTTTTTAACATTATGACGACAAATGTTCCTCGGAGGAAAGATTCACACCTTCCATAACTCCTTAAAAATACAATTTTTCAATATTTTTTTCACATTACAGTAAAGTGATCAATCTTTTCGTTATCTCAGCCTGAAATAAAAATATCAAACTTACAACTTTTAAGAAATGTTAACTCAAGGGACTTGTTTTAAAATAACTTCACAAAATCAGTTTTAAAGAAGAAAAAGAAAAAAGGCATTTCCCCATTAGCACATTTGAAATAACTATTTTTGACAATTTATTTAAAATTACAGAAGATCGTGCAGCGCACCAGACCCTGTGGAAACGAGGCTTTGTTGTCAGTAAATCGTGCACGTGTCAGTTGGTTGTTGGACAAGAAAAGGTTTTTAAATAATAAATTTTTTGTGATAATTATAAATATTTTTTCCTTCTAAAACTCAACCCGTGCACTCATGATCCTTTCATTGACTCAAGAGATTTTGTCTTAACTCCTCATTATTTTGTGTAACCAGTGCATCTTCATAAAAAGCTAAACATTTAGGGGAAATCTGCTAAATATCTGACAAACAACAACTTCAGCAGAGATGTTGAAAATATGTTCCGTTTCCCCTAAATACTTTTCTATGTATGAAAACAAATATGGTTTACTAATGTAATTTTAAAAATTATGCTTTGTAAAATGAACATACAGCAAAATTCTTCATGGTTTCTTACGTAAGCAGGCCATGTCGTGTTCAGTACCAAGTTATCTCCATCACAAGATGGAGTAAAAAAACAAAAAGACCTTTGGCTGCAGGGGGAACAGTCAGACGCTCACTTCCTTCATATAACCTCTCTCATGAGAAAATTATTGCAAAAGCTTTCAGGCATGCTTATGTAACTTTAGCATAATAAACAACGTGGATGGTCGCGGCGCTCTAATAGGCAACAATTACACTGATGGTTAGCAATGTGGACAGAAATCGAGTAAAGCTGCAGGGCAGCTCTGAGCCCGTGACCTCTGACCTTTCACTTCCTTGGCTCTGGAAAGCAGAGCAGCCCAGCAGAAACAAACAGCTCAGTATGAAACCAAAGCTACATCGTTTTATCTGGAGTACCAGGAAAAAAGAAAGAACGCAACAAAGAAAACAATCCTGAAAACAAAACAGCAGAAAACTAACCTCTGGTTTGTTATGGTATGTTTTGTGAAGCTGCTAACACGAGCTAACTGCTAACTGTGTAACAATAATAATAATAATAATAATAATAATAATAATAATAACAATCACAATAATAATAATAATAATAATAACAATAATAATAACAATCATAATAATAATAATAAAAGAGTACATCTGGTAAATGGTAAATGGAGCTTACTTCTATAGCGCCTTCCAGCCCCCTATGAGGGGCCCCAAGGCGCTTTACAGTACCAGCCATCCACCCATTCACACGCACATTCATACACCGGTGGCGGTAGGCTGCCATGCAAGGCGCCATCCAGTCCCACCGGGAGCAACTCGGGGTTAAGTGTCTTGCCCAGGGACACAACGGCACATGGTGTGGGAAGTCGGGATTCGAACCTCCAACCTTCCGATCAGAGGTCGGCTGCCACTACCACTGCACCACGGCCGCCCATCTAAGTGTTTTTACATCAAAACATTCAGTTGATTCAAGAAATGGATGCTGTGAGTTCTAGTTCTTTTGTTTGTTTTGTAACTAAATTACTTTCCATAAAGTTGAACTTTATGTACAAATACAATCTCGGTAGAAATACATTAAGATTCCTTCAAAAACTGTTTGGTTCATAATCTACTTCAGCTACTCGCTCTAATTTTGTTTTCTTATGCTACTTTTAGTTTTTAATTAGCCTTTAATTACTTTTAGTTTTGAGCTCATATTTAGCTCCTTTTAGCATCTAATTTCCCATTTAGCTTTCAGCTATCCTTTGTCCTTTAGCTTTTAGATGGCCTTTTGCTACTTTTAGTCTTTTGCTACTTTTAACTAGCACTGTGCTACTTTTAATTAGCTTTTGCTATATGAAACTTTTAGCTAGTGTTCTGCTTCCTTTAGTTGTAGTAACTTTTTAGTTTCAGCTCCTTCAGCATATTTCAGCAGGCACTCAGCATTCAAGCTGTATTTCCACAGAAACACTCGTTCTTTAGCTGCACTTTGTTTTTGAAGTTTTGTTGGTTTAGCTTTTTGTTCAGCAGCTTTTATCAACAGCTTGAATCATTTTCAGAGAATCTACTTCCTGCAGCTCCGGCAGGTGTTAATGAAAAAAAACAAAAAAAACATCTGATGTTGGGGATTCATCGTTACAAACCTTTTACGAAATTGCTAGAAATAAGTGTAAGAAGGTTCAATCAGGCGACAGATTAAGCTGCACGTTGAGGGTCTGACTTCAGTGCACGGTGTGTGATAAGCTCCAGGGTCAGTGGACGTCACCAGACCACAGAGCTGAGCAGTGCTGTGGAGGGCTTAATCTCTTTGGGTTAAAGGGAGGGGACTGAGATTAGCAGCCTGAAAACTGGGACTGCCTGACCTCAGCTGCTGACTCAGGAGGATTAAAAGGCTACCGTTAGCCTAGCATCACACTTTCCTAAACTGCAGAAGCTAACGCTAACAACACACACATTCAGCTAGGTGATCGAGTCGAAGGAAAGGACCGGATTAAAGAGCTCAGTGGACAGGGGTACTGGATGACTCGCTACCCAAAAAACCCCAGATTTCCCTCACACTTCTCATTACATAGCTCCATACCTTCCCAGACTCATATTTTCAGATATAGTAGTCCCTCGATACCTCACGGTTCGACTTTCACAGACTCACTGTTTCGCAGGTTTTCAATCTAAGACTGTACATAACACACGATTATCAACTTTAATATTACTCACATGATTGGGACGGTACGAGATAAAAAGTTAACCGGATCAGACGAGAACAGGAACCAACCAATAGGACAAAACAAAAAAACTTCAGACAGGCACCGCAATTTTGTAGTTTTCTTTCAGTAAGCCTACACTGTAACGCAAGACAAAAGAACAACACAGCCCAGAGGTCAACAGTGCTTCACGCTGCTGCTTTCTGCTGAAATTCAAACAACAGCAACGGAGGGAGCAAACACTAGCGGAGAAACCGATGTTATAAAAAATAGATTTGCAACGCCAGGTCAGAAGTAATGATCTATCTATGAAGCTCACGGAACGGTGCGTTTCAAAATGGTAAATTTACAGTAAATGAATGACCTTTAAAAACATATAACGTAGAAGATGCTACAGTTGGACGCAAAGGATTCTGGTTCAGTCTTCGTCTGCATGTGAGGGGCATAAAGATCTAAAAAACAAAGTGCTGCATGTTGAGCTGGAAAAGTATTCTTCCAGACAGTTTGGAAAACTTTTCCAGGCTCTTTAATTTTATTTCCTATATGAACAAGCTGCAGCATGTCAGCATGCTCAGTCAATAGACTGTGTGTAAACTGACACGTGATTAAATATTTGTTGGCTTCAAAAAGCAAAGTTTGAATACATTGTTGCTTTTTAAAGCAACTATGGTCAGTCTTTCTGGAACTTCAAAGCACCAGGGACATAAAACATTTGTTCATTTTAGTTTTACCTGAAAGTTGCTGGATTTTATCCACCTGTTCTAAATTTGTTTGTTTTTATTTAAAGACAGAAGGACCTGTTGGAAAATGTCCAATGTTCTAAGAAAGTCAAAGACAAAGATACTGAGAATAAAATCTTAAACTCAAAGTTTGATGTGGTAAAAAGTGAACATCGTGATGACTGTGTCCAACTTTTCATACAAAAAAGTGAAATCATGTCCTAATCTGAGCAATTACAAGTGTTTAATGTTTTAGAAAACAGAATAGGGAGTAACGTGAGGAAACACTAGTGTCTCTGTAATCTGTGTTCATGTTTCCAGACTTATCCACGCCTGGAAAATAACATCAAATTGCATAATTTCCAGACTTTCCAAGACTGATTTTTTTCCTGAGAATCAGAATTTGTTGTTTGATGGCATAACATTTACCAGCAGACTGAGTTTCATGGGAGCACGCTGTAACAGTTTTATCTTCCAAGATATTTTTAGAAGTCTAAATCCTGGATCATCCCAACACAGGCACTAAAATAACCCTCGCTTCTTTTCAAGGAGGACGTCTGACTTCAGAGATTTCTTTAATTACTGATAGAAATACAGCTTTTAATTGCCCTATGTGCAAAATGAACATCAAAGTTTGTTATTATCACTTATGATGAATATTTTAATTAAAGAGTTAACAAGATAAAGACTGACCTGTCGTTAATAACGTCGCCTCTGCACGATGAAACAATGATGACCCCTGCTGTGGTCGCCATAAGAGCATGGATGGAGGACACCAGCCTGGAAAAATAAAAATGCACAAAAGATTAATTTAACAAAAAACAACGATTTTTATTCTTTTGTATAATGCATCACACTGAATCAACTTAAAGGGTAGTTATAAAAAATGTTTCAGTTAGGCTCATAGATTAGCTAATTAAGTGAACTGTTTCCTACTTTAGTTTGTTGGAAACTAACAAAAACGTAAAGCAAAGACAAACTATTTTTACATTCAGCCCAAAAAGATAAGATTAACAGTGAAACTAAGAGTTTAACAAGTTAGACGCAACAGAAAAGACGGCAAAGATTCAACTCTTGTAAAGGCCTGATGGTTTGTACGTCACTTCAGTGTTTTTGAACACAACCAGTGAAAAAATCTCAACGATATTCAGTTTGACTTCTTGTAGTCAGCCATTAAGGCAGGTGATCAAAACTGTGGGACTTTTTGCGTGTTTAAAGAGCTGTAGTGTGCAAATATTCAACCTCAGCACTGAGCACGCCTGTTTCTTGGTGTTAAAAACAAATATTCTTTGACACGACTGCTGGATAGAACAGCTACTTTAGTGAACAGAACTTCTTCGTCTAGTTGTCAACTTTAAGATGCAACCACAGAAATAAAAATACACTGAAATGGTCACTGATGGAGCTAGACAAGATTTGTGGCTGCCATCTTGCTAGGTGCCACACTTATTGCTGTGTATTCTTTACATGTCCAAACCACTCATTAATGCTGTTTGTGTGTTTTATGTTGTGTCAGACATACAGACACTAACTTTTATTTTAAATAAAATAAACAAACCTATCTCATATATTGTGAAAATGTGACGAGAGCTTGATGTACAGAACTTCCCAAACAGCCCGGTCAGGTGTTAAAAGCAGGAAAACACTGACCCAGTGGCCAACCACAACAAATTACCCAAGCGCCGTTATAATTTTATACAGAGCAGCATACAATTAAGTAATTTATTACTTTACTTAGCCTAACCAGAGTTCTGCAACCAGTGTCTGCAGTTATCTAGACTATAACTGAAACTTAAATAATTTAGTCATTTTCTCTATACTTCACTAAATGTTTAAGCCCCAATAATGTTTTTCAGTAATTAAACAATTGAGCTTTGTCTGGCCTATACACTAGTTTACCATTTATTAAAGAATTTTCTTAGAAAATACGGTAAGTAAAATAAATAGGTTTACTACTGTCTTATATGTGTTACTAATAGTGATGATATATTTTTATCAAGCTCATGTTGACCCTCAGTTTCTCCTTTACAGAAATTACAGCGGTCTACAGTAAAGAGAGAGTGACAACTGTTAGTGTAAGTTGGTATATTAAATAAAAATATAAATGTCATTTTTGAATTTCAGATTCTGATAATTACAACAATGAATAACAAACCATTGGGCTTCTAGCCAGAGTTAATTTTTTACTCAGGTATTTACGGTCTTCTGCCCAGCTGGCAGTCACTAAAGAGGCCATGTAGCACCTACCAAGATGGTAGCACAAATTCTCATCTTGTTAGTGTGTTAGGTTGACCATTACAGCATATTTATTTTGAAGTAGAGCTGGACAATAATTCGATAGATATATGTCACAATGTACTTTATTCAATAACAGTGATATGAGTTTTAAGCACATTTTCAATATTTCGATATGATTACAGCGTTTCACTGACATTTCTTTTTCTGTTCGGGTTGAAGCGGCTGCTTCATTTTCAACCTGAACAGAAAAAGGTGTGACACAACTACGTAAGTGCGTGGTGACGTAGACGATACACAGAGATCAAGTCCAGAAGGCATTAGCGGTAGCAGACTAAGCTAGGCTAATCTCCAACGCGCGATATGTTTTCGCTTCAAAATGAGTTCCCATGACCGTCAGAATGTGACTGAACAAGCTTTCACAAGCGAAGAGAAAGCAGATGACATCACTGATGAGAGAGGAAAGACTCATTCGGCGGTGTGGAAGCGGTTCCGTTTTCTAAGATCGGATAAACTTCAGGTTTCAGTGTGACGGAGAGTCGTTCCAACTAGCGGTGGGAACACATCTAACTTGTTCCACTCAATAGAATCAGCTGAGAGTCAGAAGATGAAGCACAATAAAAGTTTGAGCCAACGTGTCCCTGAAACACCCCCAGCTGAATCAAAAGAGAAACCCATGCAGCATGTTAGGTTATGTTGTTGTTTAAAGTTAAAACTATTAATCAGAGAGTCAGAGACAGAGTTTCTTTATTGTCATTCGCACCTCATGTGGTCCATGTGGTGGAGCGAAATTATGTACACGGGGTCCCAGTTACATCCAACAATAAAATGTATAAGAAAAACAGTAATAACATCTAAGATATGAACTAAGAAAAACATCAACTAAATATACACTAAGCACTCATAACATAAAACATTGAACATCAGCACCAACATGAACATGAGTCTGTGAGCAGATGTGCACGCATGAACACATCAACATCAACATAATCTTGACAAAGTTGAGAGTTTTGGGTTTATTTGACGGCGAGTTCAAAATTTTTTAAAGGCTAAATACAAATAAAATGTGAACATTAATTTATTTGTACAGTTTGTACAATTTTTCTGAGGCTTTTATATTGTTTATATCGATACTGAACTATATTGTTATCGACCGAAATTAAGAAATATATCGTGATAAAAGTTTTGGCCATATTGTCCAGCCCTATTTTGAAGTGGACACAAACTTTCAGTCAACAGATAAACTTTACATAGAAAAATAAAAAGGTTCACCACTAAAAGATAACAGTTAAAGGAAATGCATTTGTAAACTCTAAACCAATAACTTAAGTTTGATTTGTTGGCTTGTCGGTGTAAATACAGTCCCTGAGGACAAACAGGAACCAAGACATATTCATTCAGGTGAGCTCCTCTGTCAGATCAGCATACCTCAGAGGATTAGTAATGTTCAGCCTCAACTTTCCTCTTCTATAAACAGACCTGTGACATCAGAGAAGTTGGGACATCTCTGTGCTGAAGTGTCACTGTGAGTGAACGACTAAACTCAACTAAGCTTCCATGTTTGCAATCTAGCTTCTTCCCTCAGGTTACAGGAGGTTGTATCATGTATTTGTTAAAACTAAGAAACTGTTTCAGTTTGAACAAACTCTCCTTTTGGCTGCTCTCCAGTTTGGCAGCACAGACACTATGCTGCTTTGAAATAAATAAATTAATTTAAAAAACTGTAATTTATTCCCCCCACACTCAAAAAAGCCATAATAGCCCCTTTAACACAACATTTTCTTTAAGAAAATGTTTACCCTGTGGTTGCTCTTTACGTAACCACCCATCCCATCACCACTTACAAGACAATATGCTCTTTGTGGACTTCACATCCGCCTTCAACACCATGATCCCCCAAACCCTGATGGACAAACTATCCACACTAGGACTGAGCCCCTCCATTTGCAACTGGGTACTAGACTTTTTAACAAACAGACCACAGTTAGTGAGGATCCACAACCTCTCCTCCTCCACCATAACCCTCAGCACTGGCTCTCCTCAGGGATGTGTGTTGAGCCCCCTCCTGTTTACTCTGCTCACGTATGATTGTGCAGCTACCCATCCAGGCTGTCACATTGTAAAGTTTGCAGACGATACAGCGGTGGTGGGATGCATCACAAACAATGATGAGTCCAGCTACAGGCAAGAGGTGGAACACCTGGAGAGCTGGTGCAAAGAGAATAACCTTCACATCAATGTGAAGAAGACAAAGGAGATGATTGTGGACTTCAGAAGGAACAAAAACATCTACACCCCCCTGAACATAAGAGGATCTGCGGTGGAAGTGGTCTCCAGCTACAAGTACTTGGGTGTACACATGAATGACAACCTCAGCTGGAGCAACAACACCACCAGCCTGATCAAGAAAGCTCATCAGAGACTCTACTTCCTCAGACGGCTGAGGCGAGCTGGTCTGGGAAGCTCAGTCCTCACCTCCTTCTACAGGTGTGCAGTGGAGAGCATCCTGTGCTCGAGCATCAATGTGTGGCATGGAGGCTGCACAGCTGCAGAAAGAAAAGCTCTGCAGAGAGTGGTGAAGGCTGCACAGAAATCTGTCGGAATCAGCCTCCCCACCATCACAGACATCTACACCTCCAGATGCAGGAAGAGGGCCACCTGCATCATGAAGGACCCCACTCACCCAGCACACACACTTTTTGCCCCACTCCCCTTAGGAAGGAGGTTAAGGAGCATTAAGCGTAGAACCACTAGACTGAGGAACAGCTTCTACCCTGAGGCTGTTAGACTCATGAATCTCTAACTAGAATAATCACTGTGAACAATCACACCATGTTGCTGCTGATCTGTTTCATGTTACTGCTGATCTGTTTCAATGTTGATGTGTTCATGCGTGCACATCTGCTCACAGACTCATGTTCATGTTTGTGCTGATGTTTAATGTTTTATGTTATGAGTGCTTAGTGTATATTTAGTTGATGTTTCTCTTAGTTCATATCTTAGATGTTATTACTGTTTTTCTTAGACATTTTATTGTTGGATGTAACTGGGACCCCGTGTACATAATTTCGCTCCACCACATGTACCACATGAGGTGCGAATGACAATAAAGAAACTCTGACTCTGACAATATGACTCGATTCAAATGGATAAAAAATGTCTGAGCTACAGAGAAAATACTATTTTAATTTGAATAACATTTATGATCTCAAAGCCACAGAATATTTTTCCTTTGCTATTTCTATTCACACAAACTGTCAGCTCACGAGCCGATAAGATAGAACTTTATTGATCCTGCTGGAAATCGTTAAAAATGACAGGTCACGTGCTGTGAAAACAAATGTTTGAAAACTTGGTTAGACCGATGTGTTTGGGGGGAATTTGTGTGGTTTAGAGTGGAATAATACTTAAATATAAATAAATAAATGAGGCTCAATAATCCATTGAAAAACAATGTTTTTGATGAAATACTTAATATCAATAATTGTGATAGCGTCTTGGGTCCATGACCTTCAGCGTGCACTGGGGCAGTTTGCAGCCAGTGT